TTACACTCGCACTGAAATCGAGGGTTCCGTACTCGAAGCGAACTTATTTGGTATAAAAACAAATGTTTAAAAAATATGTGTTGTATGTCAAATAAAATAAGTGATACAAAAAGGAACAATTTTGTAAAATTCAAGAAAATTGTTCCTCTTCGTATCACTTATATTAGTTGTCATACAACACATATTTTTGAAACATTTGTTTTTATACCAAATAAGTTCGCTTCGAGTACGGAACCCTCGATTTCAGTGCAAGTGTAACTCGCACTTGTCCGATTTTTGTTTTATTCAATTTTTACATATCACAATAGTCGAAAAGAATTGTTTTTCAAATATTGTCCCAAAAACACATATAATAATAAGCACAAAAGGTGAAAAAAAGTTATAATTATTTTTAAAAAAACATTTTGAATCTACAGTATACTGTAGATTCAAATGATAAATGATAAATGATAAAATAAACGAATTTTCGATTTATAAAGTAATTATTTAAGTATTTATTTATATAAAACAGACTTATACAAAATTAAAACTCTTAAAGTCAATATAAATAAATTTTCTGTTTAAAAATAATTAAAATGATTCATATAAACATTTTTTCAAAATCCTCAAATACGTAAAACGACAATATTTCTGAGAAATGTAAAATACGAAAGTACGTCAATTTATCGTATCAAATAATTAAAAATAAATACTTAAATAATTACTTTATAAATCGAAAATTCGTTTATTTTATCATTTATCCGATTAACCGTTCTATACTGTAGATTCAAAATGTTTTTTAAAATACCTATTATATTTTAAAAATAATTATAACTTTTTTTTACCTTTTGTGCTTATTATTATATGTGTTTTTGTGACAATATTTGAAAAACAATTCTTTACGAATATTGTGATACGTAAAAATTGAATAAAACAAAAATTCATTAATCTAACTATTTAATTAATCGTATAAACAATTGAAATGTTTAAATATGTTTATATTTAAAGTTTTAACAAATCCGTTTTGTAATAAACAGATGTAACAAGTTAAAAAAATATAAAATGCCTCTTAAAGAAAATTTCTTTTCAAACTAGATAGACTCACAAAGCATCGCGCGCGCATTAAGCTTGCAATCCGAGTTTAAATATTTATTTAAACTTATTAAACTTATCAGGCCCACTCTGAAACCTTTTCTAAAGTCTTCTTAACACTTCCAGGTAGGTATACGAAAAAAAAATCGGGCCCAAATGTAAAAAACATTAATTTGTTTATAAAAAAGTAATATTTTTTTTATAAAAATTAAAAAAAAATTTTTTTTTGTTTAAATTATTTAAAAGTCGTGAAAAAACTAAACATTTTTTCTCTTATCAAAATTTTTCTAAAGTTGATAGTTTTAAAGATACATGGGATTGAAAATAAGTCTACTTTTGAAAATCTAAAATTTCAAAAATTTATAGTGAGAAAATTTGGCCATAAAAAAAAAAAAAAATACGTATCCTTTTTTTTCAATAAGGAATGAAGAAAAAGTGTTTTTGCCGAATTAAAAATTTGATTGTAAATCTTACGTGGAATCGCCCATATATATTATTATATATATAGGGGAGAGTGACAAACATTGGGACATTCAACACTGGGGCAGGCAAAAAATTAAGTTTATGAAACGTGAATTTTGGCAACACTGATTATAAGGGGTGATTTTTTTACGCTAACTATATTGAATATAAGTTGATTTTCAAATTTTTAAATTAATAAAAATAATAATTTACCTTCTAATATATGATTTCCAACTTGAACAGTATGTATTACATAATAAATTTTAAATAATCAATTCAATTTTTATCAAATTCCACGTGAGATTGAAGGGTCTATCCTCCGATATTTATCATTTCGATAAAAAAATATTAAGTTTCAGACACCAAATCGTGCGCTACGCGGAGAATCACCCATATATATATAAAACAGAGATTTTTTTCGGTCAGGAAAAGTTCTAAAAACCACTTCAGAAATTTTTTCAGTAACCTTTCTTTATCCCAAGTAGCACGTAATATGGTAACATTACAGTAACATTACAATAATATTCAGTAATATTACAGTAATATTACCAGGTATTATTAAATAAGAAAATAAATAAATAATCATAATAAATTACTGTTTTAATTTAGTAATTATATATGTTAACACTGAAGGGACTCCAATCTCACAGCAATTTTCTATGATACATCCCGGACATCCAGAGAGCAGCTATGACTTACTGCTGGGCCATGTTTCCGAGCAGCAAGTAGCACTATTTTTTTGACGTTTTTTTTCATGCAATATGCAGCGCAGAAAATCGCTTTGTTCTTTAATTCAGATAATGGTAATTCACAACTTGTTAACTTATATCCCTTAGAATTTTTTACTAAACAGTTTAAAGTGTGAATCGCTACGATATCTTTATTAGCAATTGTTATAACAACGTTAAACAAAAATATTAATAACATTTAGAAATATTACATGGAGAGAAATTTATGCTACTGGGTAACATAATGATGTTAAGGGCAACCATATTTAGTGCTAAATATACAGACAGCGATATATATTGTAGTATTTACTATCAGATTATTATAGAAATTTGATTGTACAATTTACAATCTTTGATGTTAAAAATTTTATACGATCTCTTTACGTTCTCGAGTGGCAAATATACACGAACCTAACCTCGCTTTTTTTGTAAACTTAAATAATTTCATTTTATTTTAATAAGACATTTCGATAAGAATTTAAACTTTAAACGAAAAAAAACTTACTTGATTTTTGTAATCTTGAAATTTTTTAAAAAATTTTAAGCGAGGTTCTGGTTTTGGTATAATGAGTGATATTGTATCATTGTTCAGTAAGTAAAACGATTCTTCATCAATTTCACCGTCTAAACAACGCAAAATTGTTTTGAGGTTATAAACACGTTCACACTTCAGTTTTCGCTAATTCAATCAAAATAATAAACCTAAGTACCTCCAAAAGATGGAATCAAAGATTCCATATTCCACGACATTAATAAATTTTTAACAAACTCGTCCATTTTTTTATTCACAACTTTTTTCACTATATATAAACACGTGCGTGAAAACACAAGGACCGCAATTGAATAGGCGAAGTATACACCACAATCAGCGCATGCGCTCACATTTAATTTTTACAATATTTGATAGTAGTGACTACAATCCAAAAGCTAACATATTTTACGTCTTTGGGTAACATCTTGGATAGTAAAATGTTGATAGTAGATTCTTGCCAGTAACACAATGATAGTACCTTGTACAATCTTTCTTTTTACTATCAAATTCTTACTATCCATTTCTCTCAGTGTAATATTTTTAAATTTAGAAAACTTCCGTCTATAGGGAAGAAGTTGACAATTTTGCTATAAAATTTGTAAATTTTTATGAGTATAATTATTATTGTAGGAACAGGTGAAAGTGCATTGATTTTAAAAAGTCCCATTTTTAGGCTACATTTTTATGCATATTACTTAATAACTTAGAAACAAAATTTTTTCATTACACGAGTTATATATTAATTTACGCGCAGATAAACAAGACTTATTTTATTGTTTATCTCAAATTTCTACGATTTTTTTTTAAGTTATCATCCTGCAAAGTCGATCAATTCTCAGGGGCAAAGACTTTTTGTGCCGACATTAGGATAAAATTTGTTGCAGTTAATTTTTATACCGATTTTGGGGTAAAAATTCTATTTCTTTTTTTCCTGTAAAATGGTGGTAATATTTACTCTCTAAATCTGAATTAGTAGAAAACTACAAATTAATAGTAAAACGCTGATTACCGACCTAGAAATCTACCTTAACGACTGGTGGTAAAGAATTTTTCTGAATAATGAAGATATAAAAATTATCGACACAGAAATCTACCTTACCGACTGATGGTAAAACAGTTTTGAAAAAGTTAATAAAATTTCAAAAAATAATTCTTTACTATCAGTCGGTAAGGTAGATTTGTATCGGTAAAAACTTCTATTTTAAGTATTAAAACTTAATTTAATACAATGAAACCCACGTATATCGGATACGCATAATTCGCATTCCCGCTTACATTGGATTTTTTCCGGTCCCTTGAAATCCGATATACATGGGTTTCACTGTAATTATATAATATATATTTATAACTATAATTATAGTAAAATATAATTATATAGGTATAATTATTAGAACTATAATTATTTATAATTACAATATAAATATTATAACTATAATTATAACTATTTTATGAAGTTAAACACAACTTTATTTCGTGAGAAAAAATAGCAGTACAAAAGAGAACAAAAAATATAATCAGCTCAGTGTAAAAAGGGTTAATAATATGTAAGTTGGTGAATTTTCTATGACAGAATCTTCCAACTCATCATGAACTAGATATATATAAAACTTCCTTTTTCCCCAGCTCGTTTCATTTATTATTAACATTGTTTAGCATGGACAAGTGTGTTTTGCGTTAATTTATAATTTAAAACAGTATTTGCTGAAAATCTACTAGATTGTTCTGTTTCTTTTCGCTTAAAAAAAATGTTTAAAAAAACAAATTTCTGAAATAGACATATTTCCCACTTTTTTTAAATTAAATAATATTTTGGTATAAAGTTTATGCGATCATCGATTAAAAATAAAAAATATTTTTTACGTATGAAAAATAATAAAAATTTTTGCTTAAAAAAATTTTTCTTTTAAAAATTTATTGATCGAGAGAAACGTTGAAAGAATTTTTTCAAACAAAAAATTATAATTAGTTTTTTAGAAAAATATTTTTTCTTCTATATCATTGATTTATAAACAGTGTGAACTTCACCAACGTTAAATAATCAAATATTTAGAAAATTTTCTATGTAGAAAATTATTTATTTATTTAATATATTTGATTTTTATATTTAATATTTATTAATTTATTAATATTTAAGTCCGTAGATTTGTAAATAAATAAATATTAAATAATAATTTAATGTTAATAATAATAAATTAATATTAACTCACCGTCATCTCGGAACATGGATGATCGATGAATGTGAGTTCCGATTCCTCATCAGTTAACAGGACGCTGACCGTTTTTTCACCAGACTCGTCGTCTGAAACACATATTGCTACAAACTATACCAAAAACTACATTTATAAATTTTAAAAAATTAATTATTACGATTAGAATTTAAAAATTCTTTATAAAACGACAAAAGTGAGTGTAATAAAGAAATTTTTAATAAAAAAAAATTTTCCATAAAAAGCATGTTTTTATGATTAAAAATTATAATTTTACTAGAAATATGAGAATTTTTGTATACAAAAATTGTTGCTCATATAAGCAAAAAAAAAAAGAAAAAAAAATCGACAAAAGTTACACTTATATGATCTTAAACAAGAAATATAGTCATACTGTATATAACTTTCAAACATGAAACAGATTATGCATTTTTTAATATTGCTCATAAAATGAGGTAACTACTTTCAGGTTGACATTTATGATGCAATAATTTTGCAACAAAGTCAAAATTGAAAATTTTGAATTGTTAATTGAAAATTAATAATTGATAATAAATTTACTACATTAGAAAAAAAAATAAATTTAATAAATAAAAATAATAAATAAATTTTTTAAATTAACTTTTTTTTGATATTTTATTATTTTATTTTTATTTATCAACAATTAATAGTTTATAAAAATATTTTTTAATATATTTAATTTTTATGAGTACTAAATATTAATAATGTCCGTGAAAATTGTGAAATATTTTAGCTTCGAGTAATTTCCTTAAAACGAAATTAATATTTTCACAATATGGTTATAAAATAAATGGATTTTCATTTCTGAAAAAAAGAATATACAGATTTTCTAATAATAAAATGAAATTATTTTCTACTTTGAAGATACGGAAACTTTTTTAAAATATAGATTTTATGTCTATGGTTTTTAATAGTATTTACTTTGGAGAAAAGTCAGTGGAAAAGGCATTAGAGTTAAGTTACGAGTTTCAAAGACTTTTTTTTCTTTTTTTTATATAAACGGATTCGTTTCAACTGTTACATAAACGAAACGTGCCTTTGAATACACCTAATTTTATAGTATCCAATTGCTTTGAAATGGTCAAGTCATTTATTTTTGTTTTTTCAAGTATTTTTTTTGTACAATTTTTTTTCGCTATAAAAAATAAAAAAGTTGATGAAATTTTTCCGAATTAAATTAAATTACAATTAATTTTCAGGATTAAGTTTTAAGCTACAGGATGTTGGAAATTTCCAATTTAGTATAACAGCAATATAAAGTTTATATACTCGGATATGTTACGTTGTCACCTGAGTTATAGTTTGAAATCTAAACATGTTCAATTTTGACATATAACATATATACATGAAATTTTATTGCGCATCTATATTTTATATATATGTTTGTATTTAATTGCTTGTAAAATTAACTATTTCGCCCAAAAAGAATAATTTTGATAATCATTTTACTATATCTAAAATTATTATTATAAAAAAAAAATTTATTCTCTCAAAGTCCTGTTTTATTATTTTTTTTGTGTTATATATAAAATAGAGTTTGAAATCAAGGAGTGTCAATGTCAAATGTAAAATGATAAGAATATCGTTATACCTCTATTTTAACCTTATATAACACATGAACGAACGCAAAAGTTTTATTTCCCTTAAAATACACAAAGGCAGAATATCCCATCTCTTATCAGTGAAAATGTTTCACAAAGATAAATCTCGTATAGTAAATTTTTTTTGTGGGGCTATAAAACCTGATATATACGAATAAGGGCTGTATACGAAAATTTACTAAATGGAAGACATTTAAAATTATTTCTTTTATGTCAAATATTATATATCTTATATTGTCGACTCTGCAAAAATAAAAAATTTTTTAAATAATATTTTTTATCTTTTTAATAAAATTTTCCATTTTATTGTACATTTAAAAAAAAATTTATCTTTTAATATTCAAAAATACGTTTCCTGGAAATATAAAATTGATGTATTTTTAAACTGTTTTTTAAGTACAAAATTCAACCTGGTTTTCTAAAACTATGAAAACCACAAAAATTTTAAAAATTCTACCTCATTATTTCTTTTGTAATTTTTTTAAGTACCGGAAAATCCGCGTCCTATTATGTACTTGAGAAATAATTTCAAGTCTCAATTCAGTGATCAATATTATAATGCTAATCAAATTTTCTTTTTTTTCAACAACGCAATTCAAGGTAAAAAAAAGCTTGCGCTGAGAACTTTTTTCCAGGAAGAAAAGTTTTTTTTTCTTGTATGAAGAGAATCAAGATCCTGTTGAAGCAAATCACTGGCAATTTCGATTGGACGAACGTGTTTAAACTTTCTTTTCCATCTAAGTCTCGTTTTTTTTTTAGACGCATTGATTTTGTGTTGGTTTTAATTGGAAGTTGACTGTCTATACATGTGACTAAAGATTCTAAAAGAACATTTTTAAAGGTTTAAAGAGTATTGTGAAACTACTAATGACTTTGAAGAAAAGACACTTCGAGTTCTCTTCGATCATTGCCTCCAATCAATGAACTAATCGGCTTTGTAAAAAAAAAGTTTTCTTTTTATTATACGACAAAAAAGAAAACATTTTTTTATAATAACACTTTTCTATTATATAATTATATTTCTAGTAAATTATAATTATAATTGCGAAAAAAATTATAATTGTGTGTATTACAACTAAAATTAAATATTAATATTATTAAAGAGGCTCATAATTATTCTGTAAAAATTATAATTTACAATTTTCATTTTAAAGAATTATTAGATTATTTTGAAGACGAATCTTCATTTTTTCGAATTATCATTTGATAGAATTTTTTTTTAACAAATTTTTACTTTACAGAATTTTTATGTAGAGAATTTTTATTAGGCAGAATTATTATTTTACAGAATTTCTCTTTACACAGTTTTTTTATTTACAAGAATTCTAATTTAACTGAATTTTAATTGATTTTGATTATTAATTTTAATTAACACAATTTTAAGTGATCCGAATTTTTAAATATCAGAATTTTCAATTAACCGAATCATTGTTCTCCGAAATTCGTCTCCGAACTTTTGTTTGTACAAATTGTTATTTGTTAAACTTTTAAAACACCAAATTTTCACTTGTCCAAAATTGCAAATGGCCTAACAAATAATATAATGGACAAAATTATTTCGACGCAATTTTAAAAATTTACCAATATTTTCTTGATAATTTCTGATTGGCGAATTATTATATTCTGATTATTCGGTCATTGACAATTTCAGACAAGTATGAAAACTCATTTTTTTAAAAAAATTTTATCAAATCACAAATCGTGCAAATAAAAATTATGACAAAATGAAGATTCGGTGAATTGGAATTTCTGACATTTAAAAATTCGAATCACTTAAAACTCCGTTCAATTCAAAAAATAGGAATTATGCTTAATTAAAATTCGGTTAAATTAGAATTCTTTCCAATAAAAAGTTTGATAAATAAAAATTCTGTCAAATAAAAATTTTGCCAAATCAAAAATTTTGTACATAAAAATTCGTTTAAAAAGAAATTTTGTTAAATACAAATTCAAAAATTAAAAATTATTTTAAAAAATAAAGTATTTAATAAGATTTTTTAAAATCTTACACGGAAAAAAGGAATTGCTTACAGATGCTAACTGATGTTTGCTGTCAAATCTATCAAAATAAGCAATATCAGTCTTAATTTTTAAAAATTTACTGTCACAGCAAACTTTTTCTATGTGTGTGACTAATTTTGATTATAAATATTTCGGGGCAATTAACAGTTAATAGATGTTCGTTTATTCGTTTAGATTAATTGTACAACATGTTTCGGCAATGAATTTTATTTATTTATTTAATTAATTTAGTACAATTGATCTAAACGAATAAACGAACATACATTATTGTTAAAGGCCTCGAAATATTTATAATCAAAATTAGTTACACGCATAGAAAAAGTTTGCCATGAGAGCGAAATATTTGCCGTCACATTAAGTTACGTTAGCTAATTTAGGGACAGCAAACAAATTTGCTGTGAGGTCAAAAAAGTTTGCTGTGACAGTAAATTTTAAAAAATTAAGACTAATATTTTTTATCACAGGAAACTTTTTTGTTGTCATAGCAAAAAATTTAGCTGTGGTTACTAATTTTAATAGATCGGATAGCAAACATCAGTTAGCATCTGTAAGGAATTCCTTTTTTTCCGTGTAACATAATGATTTTTACGGAGTAATCATGCGTCCCTTATTAAATACAACTAGAATTTTTTTTTTTTTATAAGAAATGAAATAAAATTGTGCAAAAAAGAAACTCACCAATTGATGTATCGTAGGCGTGTAAATATTCGGAAGTCATAAATTGGGAGACGAGTGAACTTTTTCCAACTGCTGAAGCTCCGAGCATTAAAACCCGAAAGGGAGCAGGACCCTGGGAAGCACTACTTTCTCGTGAACTGGCCAAAGAATTTGCTGCTGAATTTCTCGCAGACCCTGGATATGAAGCCGTTAAATGCTCCGTGCTACAAAAAAGAGAAATAAATGAAATTAATTAAATTTTAAAAATAGTTTTATTTTTTTCACTCTTTCTCTTTTTTTTTTGTTGATGAAACAATAAACATGCATCCAGTGAAAGGATCTATCTGAACATCACGCGCGAGTTGGATAATAAACCACATGTCACTGCTTTAATTCACTTCATGGTAAATTTATCTGTCAGATAAGTGAGTAACATTGTATAGTACGGCAAATACAAATTGCAAAATCTGCCTTGATAAATGTTTCTGGTTAATTGAACCAAGTCAGTGCAAAATTAGTTCAATTTTGGTCACGAAAATTTAATTACTCATATATACATACACAAACACTGGAAGATATACGCTTATTGAGTATTTTGACATCAATTGTATATTACATGATTTTGATTGGCGTATCATTAGATTCCCTAATAAATGGGTTTTGTTGCAAATTTCGAGAATATAATCATCTTTTCAACACATCATAATTATTATGTATTTATGACAGGGTTAACTGCTTTGACAAACAATTTTTGCAGTCAGTTAAAAGTTTTCTCTGAACCAAATATATTACTTTTTTTCTATTAATACAATTTTTTTGTTAGTTCAAACAAAATTTATTTGAGTCACACAACATTTGTTTGATTCAAACAAAAATTTGATCCAACCAAAATTTATTTGATCCAAACAAAATTTATTTCAGTAATACATTTGTTTGGTTCAAACAAAATTTATTTGATTAAACAAAAAATTTATTTAACTCAAATAAATATTTACTTTACTTAAATAAACATTTGGTTTATTTTCATAAATTGTTGGAACAAGGAAATAATATGATAGAACCAAATAAACTTTTGTTTCATTAAACCGAAAGGTTAACTGTACTAAAAGAAACTTTATTTGATTCCAAAAATCGGTTACTTGACTATTATCAAATAAATATTTATTTGTATACAAATAATTATTATTTGAGCTAATTAAATACAGTGAAACCCACATATATCGGATTTGGAGAGGACACAAGTACGTCCAATGTACGTGGATCTTATTGTAATAAAATAATAAATAAATAAAAATTTTTCTTTGTAATGCGTGTTTGCAAAATCAAATTTCATTTGCGAGCGCTACGTGATCATTAGGGTTATTTCACATTAGGGTATAAATATTTAAAAACTAAAGATATAAAAAATACCGACATAGAAATCTACCTTACCTACTGATGGTAAAGAAATTTTTTTGGAAAATGTTACTATAAAAAATTACCGACACAGAAATCTACTTTACCGACTGATAGTAATACAGTTTTCCGAAAAATGAAAATATAAAAATTACTGACACATAAATCTACATTACCGGCTGATAATAAAACAGATTTTTGGAAAATTAAAATATAAAAATTATCGACATGGAAAACTACATTACCGACTGATGGTAAAATTTGTTTTTTAATTTTTTCAACTTTTCAAGACTGTTTTACCATCAGTCGGTAAGGTAGATTTCTATGTCGGTAATTTTTTATATTAGCACTTTCCAAAAAAATTTCTTTACCATCTTGATAAATAAAAATTATTTGGTTCAAATAAATATGTATTTGATAAACTATTATTTGAATAAAATAAATTTTTCTTTCAGTGTTTTATCACATCGTTTAACGAAAAATATTGAATGCTTTTTCTTAGAACAATTTTAAATATAAAACTTCGTGTGTGGCGATTCGATTTTTATAACGGGAATAAAAAAACTCAAGTGGCAAAAGCAGTGAAAAGTATATAAGAAAGCAAAACGGATCAAGTGGACATTTGAAAGGACGTTGTTCCTCTTGTTGTGGGAGAGGTCATGACAAACTAGAGCATTGAATTTAATGCTCTGAGAAAGTATTACCGGCGCGCGCTTCTCAAATATCAAAAAGCAATAGAGGCGAAAATATGCTAAAATAAACGCGTATTCAACGAAAGAAAAAACTCAGTAAATATATTTTATTATTATTTTTTTTGTTTTCGTATTCTTTTCCTTTTTCATCAAAAGCACTTTTTATTAATAGAATTATTTTCGAATTAGCTCATGGGCTTTAAACTTGGAGAATTTTCATAGAATTTTGTGAATCGTGAAAATGTACCCGTTCCATTATATCCGAACCTCGCAAAATTCACACCTGCCTCCCCCCCTCCTTTCACGTGTTGGGTTGTCAAAGCCATGAAAAAAAATATAACAACATAAAAGCTTCACTGAGACGAAAAACTTGTGACCCGTGTAATATTCTGACCAAAATATGAACTATCTCTGTCTCTTTTTCTCTTTCACTTGTTAGTGGTGAAAGAAAACTGTTTATGATTAACGAGCCGTGACAAATTTCAATAAATTACAAAATATATAGATTTAAACAAAAATTTTATCGCAAATAATAAAATTTTTATTAACTTTTTAATTTAATCTATTTTTTTATTCGCGAATTAAAAAAAAATTTACCTGAGCGAATCACTAGAACAGCAAAAGTTTTAATTGTTTCAATTAAATCTTTCATTATATTCTAGTGAAACCTTTTGCTGCTTCAGATTAATTTTTTTTTTTACGCAAATTCAATAACCAAAAAAATGTGAGGCTTAAATATAAATTCTAAAACTCTATTATTAGAATTTTTATTTAATAGAATTTTAAAATAAAATTTTTATTGAGCCGAATTTTATTTTTTCTCATTATTATTTTGTAGAATTTTCATTAAACCGATTTTCTAAATTAGAGAATTTTTATATAAGCGAAAATTTACTTCACAGAATTTTTATATGTTCGAATTTTCATTTGTCAGAATTTTTATTTGCATGATTTCGGCGCCATTTTTAAAATCAACCAATCAAAAATTATCCATAAAATTGTGATTGGTTCCTTTTAAAAATCGCGCTAAAATCTTTCTGTCAATTGTTGGTTCGGACATTTTCAATTTCGGATGATTTTTCAAACTAATGAAAATTTATCTAAAAGAAAATTCTATGTAATATAAACACTGAAAAAAACATGATCTCAAATTGAGTACGAAATTCATACTCGATTTGATACGTATCAAAAATGAGTAATTATATAAAAACCCAAAAAATATAACAAATTTCTAATAAGAATAACAAACTAAACTTATTATAGTGTTTAATTTAAAACGTAAATGCTTGTAATCGTGTAGTAATATTTTAAGTAAGAGAAACATATTTTTAGGTTAGGAACGTGAAAACATGTGTTTTGACAGCAAAAACAATTCTGGCAACCTAAACAATGGCGCAAATTTTGAAAACCGGTAAAATTAATTATTATTTAAATAAACAATGATTAATATTTTTGCACTGATGTTAAGAATCTATTTAATATTATTCAAATATTAGAAAAAAATTATTTAAATTGTAAATCAATTTAAAAATGATACGAACCTAAAAATCTGAAATTAAGGCGCTCTCAAATTGAGTAACTTGAAGTTTGTCATTTTCTCAATTTGATACCGATTTCAAAATGAGTTACAAAAAAAATGAGTCTAGGTTTTTTATGTGAAATTCTACCTAATAAAAATTCATTAAAATGGCTATTACATTAATTTAAAATTTGAGCAAATAAAAATTCCGACAAATGAAAATTCGAAGAAATAAAAATTCTCTACAGTGAATTTCTATTATATAAAAATTTTGTAATATAGAAAATCGTTTTAATGAAAATTCTGCAAAATATTGAATTGCTTTCTTTTCATGGAAATAAAAAGAGATTTCCGATTTTAAATATCCAAGAATAATAATTCGATATTAATAATAATAATAATAATAATTTCGCTTGTCATGGAATATTCAAATATGATAAACGGGCATAATTCTTGGCTGAGCTGTCAAATTGGTTTATAGTTATAGCTTCCAGGTTTGATAATATCTATAATACTGTTCACACTAACTTATTTGGTCAGGGTCTGTTGTACGTCAAAACTGTCGATTCAGCACACGAAATACCAAGTATATTATTCGCCATGAGTAGGATTTCTTGAAACTTGGTCAATAATATACAAAAGTTTCCTCTTGTTATATATATTTATTTTCTTTTTTTTTCTCAATACTATTGATGTACAATTCCAATCAAAGTTTCACACTTTCTTTCAATATTTCTATATCTACAACTGATAGACTCTCTTTCTCTCTCTTTTTTTTTCTCTATCTCGAAAGCTCCATCTGGTATTTTAAAAAATGGATGCCACAATATTATTCTTTCCTGACAGAAAGGCGTTTCGTAGATTTTCAGATACATTTACCTTATCGATTTTGAATACATTATTTCTTGAATTATTAACACATAGCTCGGCTATTAGACGGCTATTTTAAAACCCAATGGCAATAAATTACGAACTACATTTGGCTTTTTTTGGTATAAGACATAAAAAAAGGGGTATACTTTATTTGTAAAGTACTGTTAGATTTTTAAATCTCAATTTTTTTTGTTTATTGCTTCACATATGCGTATATCATTGTGAGAAAATGTGTAAGAATTAGTAACTGACTTTCAGCCTTTAAATTAGTTAAATTTTACTAATTTATTAGTAAATTTTTTACTATTATCTAGTTAAATTACTAATTTTACTAATAATTTTACTTTTTTTACATTTACTAAATCAGTTAAAGTTTACTAATACACAAGCTCTCTAGATTAATAAAGAAATTTACTAAGAATTAGTAGGGTCAGTTGGGGTAAAAGGGGACAAAATCGCTATTTTTCACAAATTACGTAAGTTTCTTCCTTTAAAAGGTAATATTTACGAGTTTATTTTTTTAAGTTGTTATTTACATTCCCAGGATTAATTTTATGCAGCAAAAAAAAATTTAAATAAGCTTTAAACGCATGAAACTGACTGTCCCCATTTACCCCCAAAATTTAGAAAATTTCATGAAATTTGGGGTAAATGGGGACAGCATAGTTTCTAAGAAAGTTTTAAGAAAAAAGTTTCCTTAAGTATATTACTGTATTAAGGGATGAAAAAACTTGAAAAAAATTTG